ATTCCTAGATCATCTGTCAGACTTATTTTGAGACAATGTCTCATGAAGTTGCTCAGACTGGCCTTGTCATCCTCTGGCCTCAGCCTCAAAAGTCTACACTACCAGGTCTGGCTATTAGTTTTGTTTGGCAAACAAGATAAACCAAAACAAATGTTTTTCAGTAGAGAATGTCTAAGAAATGGTGACTTTTTCCTCCAGATGATTCTCAGCTTTAATAATGAAATTTGTACATAACTAGAAATCATGTTATTTTTTAATATATATATATATATTTTTTAATTATCTGGAATTTATTACCTAAGATGATCAACATTGTAAATATTAACATTCTTACAGATCTTTGGAAGGCATTCTTTGGTTTTGACTGATAACTGCATCTACCTGTACATACTTTAATGTAAACTCAGGATTGTACTAATGTAGTGCTACTTTCTGCTTCTTTTCACTTAACATAAAATACATATTATATACATTACACTTACACACACACACACACACACACACACACACACACACACACACGGATGCTAGTGCTCATCAATGAAGAGCACTTCTGGCTCTTGTATCAGACAGGGGTTTGGTTCCCAGCACCCACAGTTCCAGGAGCTCTCACATGCCCTATGGTCTCCTGGGTACTGCATGTACATGGTGGACATGCATCTAAGCAAGATATTAACACTTATAAAGTAAATCCTTCAAAAACAAAAATACAATTTTTTAAAGATTTATATATATTTTAAATTTATGTGTATATATACCATTATGTGAGGGAACCCTTTGAGGCCAGAAGACAGCACTGGATCTCCTGCAGTTGAGGTCATTTTAATACTTGTGCATTATTGTATTAATTAGTTAAGACCTTGTACCTATTGTCAGGCACTCATCACATTAATTAAAATCATGGTAGCAAGAAGGCTCAGCACTGTCTTAATAGGCAAGCTAAAAATCAAACTCTGCTGAATGGCAAGGATATTCTTTTAATCTATTTATCAAGTTTAATAATTCCCAATTTCAGGGTTTATAACTTGTTTTCTTAAAAACTTAAATTGGCTGCACATGGTGAGGACTACCTGTAATCCAAGCACTGAGAGGCTGAGGCAGAAGGACTGAAAGTTTAAAACAGGGAGAAGGAAGAGGAGTAGCAGCTGCAACAGCAGGACTCTATAACTTACTATGTGACTCCAGGCAAGTCACTAAAAGTCCATATGCCTCCATTTCCTCATCTCTAAAGTGGGATAATTGCTATTTAACATCTCAGGGTTATACAAATTCTGTGAGTCCAGTGATCCACTAGGATGCAGTAGCTAGCAACAGCTCTAATCCCAGCACTCCAAAGCATGAGACAGGAAGACCAAAAGTTCAAGCTGTGAGACCCTGCCTCAAAAAAAGAAAGACGGCTGGGAGAAGATTGCTCAGTGGTTAATTAAGAGCACTGGCTGTTCTTCAAGAGAACCCAGATTCAATTCCCAGCAACAATATGGTGGCTAACAACCATCTGTAACTCCAGTTCCAGGGGATACAACTCCCTCTTCTGGCTGCCTTGTGTACTACATGCATGTGATGAACAAGACATTCACACAGGCAAACCACCAATCCACATAAAATAAAGACAAACAGCTCAAAAAAACGCCAGCCTTTATTTAATCCCAGCACTCAGGAGGCAGAGCCAGGTGGACCTCTGTGAGTTCGAGGCCAGCCTGGTCTACAGAGTGAGATCCAGGACAGGTACCAAAACTACACAGAGAAACCCTGTCTACACACACACACACACACACACACACACACACACACACACCAAAAAGAAAAAGAAAAAAAAAAAAACCCAAAAAACAATTAGAAAAAAGAGAAATGAATGAATTCAGTGGCTGCGGAAATGACTCTGTGGGAAAAGTGCTTTCTATGTAAGCATGAAGACCTAAGTTCATTCAGAGCCCTAGCACCCATATAAATAGTTACCTGTAATCCCAGCACCAGAGGGAGGCACAAACAGAAGGTCCTTGGGGGCTTGCTAAATTAGTTAATTCCAGGCTCTGGGAGAAACTTCAACAGAAAGGCAGGGATAGACTGAGGAACCTCTGGGCTCTACATGGAGGGTACACACATGCATACACACATACATGCACACACACAAAAATAATTCAATGAATTATGGGGCCTGTAAGGTAGCTCAGCGGGTAAAGTAAAGGCACTTGCCAACAAGCCTGTCAACTTGAGTATGATCCCCAGGACCACATGATGGAAAGCAAGAACTGAATCCTGAAAACTGTCGTCTGACCTCCACATGTGTACTATGGCACAGGTTTTTAAAGAATTCAGTGGCAAGCTCTTGACATACAGCCCTCTGCAGAGATTTATGTTCAACAATTTTTCCCACTGTGTGTGTGCGCGCGCGCAAGTTTCACATCCTGTAACCAGGAACTCACTGGCTTTGTTTCCATCTCTGCACCCCTCCTGCCTCACCCACCTCACCTGCTGGGACTGCAATTTTGACACATATTACAAGATACTGATACACCAGAAGCATTGGTCTCCTAATATACTTCACCTTGCAAAGACGGCAAAGGAGAATCAAGAGAACGAAGAAATGAACTAGAATATACTCTTCTTAGAATAAAACAGAGTATTTAAAAAATTAACACAAAGCCATACATTGATGGCGCACACCTTTATTCCCAGCACTCAGGAGGCAGAGGCAGGCGGATCTCTGTGAGTTCCAGGCCAGACTGGTCTACAGAGTGAGTTCCATGACACTTAGGGCTGTTATACAGAGAAACTCTGTCTCGAAAAACCCAAAACAAACAAACAAAAAAACACTTTTACACAACTTAAATCCAGCACTTGGGAGACAGAAGATGTGAGTTTGAGGCCAGCTTGGTCTACATATTGAATTCCAGGACAGCCAGGGCTACATAGTAAAATTCAGTTTCCAAAAGAACAAAAAGCACAACAAAACAAAACATCCCTTCTAAAAATGTCTCTCTTCTTCGGACTGTAGTTTAAAAAAAATCCTCACACTTGTGCGCTTCTTATAGGTACAATGTAAGAGAACCTTTTATAAGCTCTAAATTATATTGTTAAAACAATATAGCTGGTGCTAAAGTTAAAAAACTAACTTTTAGGGGACTGGAAAGATGGCTCAGAAAAGCATTGGCTGCTCTTCCAGAGGACCCAAGTTTGATTCCTAGCACATACATGACAGTTCACAACCATCTGTAACTCCAGTTCTCTGAAGATCTAACACTCTTTTCTGGTCTCTGTGAGCAGAAGGCACACACATGCTACACAGACATACAGGCAGGCAAAACACCCATACACATAAAAATAAACAACAACAACAAAAATAAACAACAAGACAATCCTTAACATTTATAAAATACATCCTTAAATAATTAACACATTTCCCCTGTCTTTCTCCTACCTGATAATCTCTCTAATTATGATACTCCCTGCTAGGGCTATATAGCTCAGAACATTTGTCTCTCATTCTTGACCCAGGTTAGATCTGGGTCCAGTACTGCTGTGCATTCTCACACACCCTTTAATTTCAGCACTCAAAGCAGAAGCAGGCAGAACTAAGTTTCAGGCCAGTCTGGTCTAAATAGGGAGATGTTCCAGAACAACAAAGAGCTACATAGTAAGACTTGTCCCAAAAAAACAAAAGTAAATAAAAAAAATCCCCAGTACTGTCCAATAATAAAATAATTAATAAAGCCAAACACTATAACTATGCACTTTAATACACATTAGTTAACTAAGGAGATACCTATGTTTTATAGAAGGAATAATAAAGTTTAGAATAGTGAAATCACTTGCCCCAGGTCACCGAGCTGAAGAAGTTGCTAAACTGGTATTTAAACCTAAGCTCAATTACAACACCCTCTTCCCCATTGTATCTACAGGACTACCTGTACTCTGACAGAAGAGAAAGCTATATTCAAGACATAACAGAAATATCCAAGGCCCTTTCCAAAGAGACAGTAAATACTTGTTACTGGATACATGTATTTATTTCACAGTAGCACGTGGCTTTGGTAAGGAGTACTGACGACAACACAGAAAGGATTGTTTCTGCTGCTGTTGACCTTTTCCCCCCCAAGTCTCTTACTTTCAGTTTGTTTCCCATTACTAAATAATGGAGAAATAATTAATATCCTTGCTATCTAAAACAAGACTCTAAAATTCAAAGATGCTAAGTGTAAAGTCTTAAAAAAAAAAAAAAAAAAAAAGAAAGTAATTGTCATCTGTTTAAGGTGCATAGCCTGTTAACTTTTTCCAGAACATTCTATGGGCTTTTTTTTTCCAAGCATAGTTTAATTATCTTGATTACTTAGCTTTTTTCATCCTTAGATATGATGATATAGAAATCACATCTATAATTGGTAAATAAATTATATAACATTTTGTGCCAGGTGGGGGTGGTGGCGCAAGCCTTTAATCCCAGTACTCGGGAGGCAGAGCCAGGCGGATCTCTGTGAGTTCGAGGCCAGCCTGGTCTACAGAGATCCAGGACGGGCTCCAAAACTACAGAGAGAAATCCTGTCTCAAAAAACAAAAACAAACAACAAAAAAATTATATATCATTTTGAAATGCACAATATCCAAAAGTTTTCAATTTGGAACTTTCAAACTAAGTATGTGTTTGGTGTCACTGCTGTATTTATTAATTTATCATCTTTATGTTTGAACCTTTTCAAATTCAGTTTGTGTTAAAAGAAAAATTAACTGACATTCTAAAGTAGAACACCCAACACATAATTTTAAATGATTATGAGGGATTTCCCCAAGGCCTCTCAAAGCAGATACAATGGCCTACAAGCACTTCAAGTCCAACAACGAAATCCACTGAAACATTTAGCTGCTCTAAAAGAAGGATCAGGCTCCTTAGCAAAAAACTACATTGTGTGAGTCTGCAAAGTTTCCCACTTTTCCATTTCAACTCCATCTCAGAGAAAGCCTTTGCATACTGACACAATATGCTGTAAAAACGGCACTTTGCTGACCTTCCAATAGTCCAGCTCTATGAAAATTCTGTGATGGGTGTAACTTCAGAGAATCTGAAAAACACAAAAAGCATTAAGTACTTTTTATGCTGAATGAGAAAAAATGCCAAGGATAGCATACATCTCTTATATAACTACTATGTATTTTTAAGAGTTTAAGCCCATATTAGTCTAGTTTATTTCCTGCAAAAGGAAGGTTGGGTTGCTTCTACACTGGTCTCTAAGCTAAACTTAGATTTTGATAAAGCATTTGTTTCATGGAAAATTATCTGACGATTACTGCCCAAATGGTGTTACTGTCTTGACTATTTTTAGCATCCAATTGTACCTCAGCCCTATTCTAAGGAACACCTCTTGATCTTTTCTTTTCCTTCTGACACTTCAAACTACAATATTTCTAAGCTATTTCAGGTAATATCTGAGAACCATCCTCAGGATAGTGTCTGCCAACTAAAGTCATCAGAGCAACAGACAATGGCCTAACAGTTACTAAGTAGGGCTCTGTGTACAAACTCAATAGTCTATAAAGTCAGCAGCACCTTCCAGGGTAAACCACATCCCTCTGATTCAACTAAACATGAATGCACTAATGTCAAGATTAAGTCCCCTCCTGTCCCCTACCCACAAGAGGTGAAATTATCCAGTGGATTTGTAAAACTAAAAACAGAAGAAATGCTGGATTTCTCGGGCAAAGGGGTCACCATGGTATATGTTTTAAAATATAAATGAATCGTTAAGAACTTTTGCCCCCTCCCACTGGTATTAAGTGGTGATGAGTGCAAATGTGGGTATTTTGGGTTTAATACCCGTTGCAAAGGGAACCTGTTCTGACACATTCTTGTGGTGTCCAGTGTAGGAATTTAACCCCAGCAGAGATCACCTCAAGTGTTAATGTTTTAGATGCTGGGAATCCCCTGAAGGCCTTGGCCAAAAAAATAGTTTTAAATGAGAAGCTCTGTTCCTCGCCTCCTCTCTGCAAGAAGCCCTTGAACAGCAAAGAAGAGAAATTTCTCAAAGGGCAAGACTGTGCCCGAGCCTGGTACTCCAGGGAGAGGAATACAAGTAATCCAGAGAGGGCATCCCTATCTTTGTAAAAGAAGTAATTAGAATGCCACGGAGATGAAAAGAGAGAAGGAAAAAAAAAAAAGAAAAGAAAATTCGAGCCTTTTCCAGGCAAGAAGATGACGAGGAAAGGAAGAACGCCTGGTCGAGGGGGGCCGTCCCGACATGGGGAGGGAGTGGACTAGGCCGGAGCGGGGGGAGGGGGGGGGAGGATAGGACGACCGCGCACAAACAAGCCGAAAGAGGGAGGAAAAAATGGTGACCCCGGGCTCGGCAGCCGCTTGGGACCACGCAGCCCGGCGTGGGGCAACTTTGCCGGGGAGGAGAGTCCGGCAGACGGGAGCCCCGGCGGCGTCCCGACCCCCCGCGCGGCCCCGGCACCGGGACCGGTGGGGTGATTGCCGAGCCGGGGGAGGACTGGGCCGGCAGCCCGCCCAGGGTGGCGGAGCCGGGAGCGGCCGACCGTCAGGTGGCGAACCTCGGGGGGCCGCTGGGGACTCGGGGGTGGAGGAGCGGGGGGAGCGCACCACCAAGAGTCCCCGGCCGCCCCGCGCCGCGCCGGGGAGGGGCCGCCGCTCTGCAGCTCCGAAATCACCCCTGGCCCTCCGGGGGCGCCCCACGGCCGGCCCGGGACAACTCTGGAGAGGGGCAAGCCGGGCTGAGCCGGGTTCCGACGGGGACCCCCCCTCCCCACCGGGACTCCGCGCGCCCGCGCTCCCCGCCCCCACGCCCCACCCCCCATCTGACTCACCTCGCGAGTACAGGGACTTGGGCGATTCCAGGTCTAGGTCCGCGCTGAGCAATGAGATGAAGTCCGAGGGCATCGCAGCTCGACCCAGCCCGGCCCGAGGGCAGCGGGAGGGGGGGAGCGGCGGTGGCGGCGGCACCTCCTCTCCGGGACCGCGGGCACCGAACCGGGGGCGGCGAGGCGAGGGCGGCAGCCGCTGCCTCCTCCTCCTCCTCCTCCTCGAGGGCAGTCACTTCCCACCCGGCCGAGCGACGAGAAGGGCGGCGTGGTGGAGAGCAGCTCTGCGGAGTAGAGACCTGACTCCCGGCGAGTCCAGAGAGAGAAGAAGGTTCGGGCGGCGGAGAGGAGAGGGAGAGAGCCAGAGGGTCCGTTTCGGGCTTCTCCTCCGCGCACACTGACGGCCGCCGCCACCGCCGCCGCCGCTGACAGGAATCTGAGCCCCGCCCCCTCGTGGGGCACTGCGCACGCGCGGGGGGGGGAACTCCAGCAGCCCGGAAGAGCCGAGGGGCCGCCGGAGGGCGGGCAGGCGCGCCGCGGAACAGCATCAACAAGGGCCTCGCTTCCTGCCGTCGCTCCCGCGGCCGCTGCTGATCCCGGGCTGGGAAAGGGCCCCGCCAGCCGGGAGGGAGGAGGAGGGAGGGAGGAGGGAGGGAGGCGGCCTGGCTCCTGGGGCCCCGAGGAGGGAAGAGATTTTTTTGCCACGACCTGGTGGCGGCGAGCCTGAGGCGGCCGGCCCTGCCCCGTGGTGTACGCAGGAGGACACCGACCCTGGGGGACCTGGCTGTCTGCGAGCAGGGGAAAGACCTCCAGAGACTTGCTGCGACCCAAGGCCGGCAGGCTGGAGCTCGCACGGGGGAATGGAGTTCCATGGCTTGGACGGCAACCCAGCCCTTCGGGGGTTTTTCATAGCCGTTTCTGCAGTGAGCTGGCCAAGGACCATCAGACTCATTTTTAATTAAGAAAGGGCAGACCGTACTCTAACCACCACCACCACCCCGGGTTATCGAGTTTTTGGAGGGGTTTTTCGTTTGCTTATGGATTTTTTTGTTCTTGTTCATGTTGATTTTTTTTTTTTTTCTTTTTTGGTCCTCCCTGGCCTGAAGGAGCTCACTATGTAGACCAGGCTGGCCTCAGACTCACAGAGCTGTGATTGCCTCTGCCAGGCAGACACCACCATGCCCGGCTATTCGTTATTTTCATTAAAATAATTCCCCCAGGTTACCCACATCATATTTATGGCGACTGCATTTATTTATTTAGATACATGGTATCGCTAAGTAGGTCTAGGTGGCCTGGAGTTCACTATGTAGATTTAGACTGGCCTCAAATTTGGGGCAATCCTCCTGATTCGGCCTTCCGAATGCTTGTATCACCGGAGAGTACCACGACACCGGCTTTGATCTTTTTAATTTTATTTATAATGATGTCTCTGATAGTGGACGCCCAAATTTATTCAAGAGTGGAAAATAAAAGACAGTTTGAAAATTGGATCCTGTGAGTCCACCTGGCTGTTAGAGAGACAGAGAAAGAAGCAAACCTCAAAGCCTGTTCTTCCAAACAGGTTTTCACTTTTCATTGTTCATTCAAGTGAGGATGGAGGATAAACATGTAAATGAGGGGTTTTGGCTAGTCTCTTCATGGGGGCTAAAAGTTTCCGTTGCAAAAAACAAATCCTCACCTACACCACAGACTGTTTCCTGACTCTAATAGACATCTGGGAAATTTTTAATCAAGTTATTAAAATATCAAATGGAGCACAGGGTGCACATCGTGGGAACTAATTTTTGATTTTGTGTGGAGTATTGATGCCAGCAGCCACATGGGCAAGGTTTTTGAGGTATTCAAGATGGTTCAGTTTGTGTTTCTGTGTCTGCAAAGCTAGTCACAAATCCTAAAACCCTGCCGATTTTAAATGTGTAAATCCTTAACAAAGCTTTGCCCGCCCCGCCGTGAGTGAATTCGGCCACTTCATCAGGCCTTGGAATGCTGCTGGTATGGGGGAAGACTCTCCAAGCAAAGGAGGCCCCGGTATCTCTGGAGTGGGCATTTACAGAGTGTCACCCACAGACCTCGGATTTACATTTGTGTCATCAGAAACTGCCTATCCTTTCATCTCAGCATCTGATAGAGGTTGCCCAATTTTCTTCAGTGAATTCTTAGTGATAATTAATCAACCCTGTGAGCATTTTCTTCTGTCAGAGGGAAGAAAGGTTTTCAGAGCCACCCTGAGATACAGCAGCGCAAAACAGGAAACTACCCTCAAACTTCTATGGCCACTGCCCTCTGTTGTAACAAGTCCCAAGGGAAGTCCCTTGTAACTTCTGAGAGCCCCACTCATTTGATAAGAAAAGATTCAGACCTCCTATTGCCCAACAGGCTGAGGCCAATTGAAATCCTATAGCTTCGAGTTGGAGTGAAGCATTGGTTGGTGGCCTAGCCCTTCCATTAGTCACTACATAATACATGAAGAGGAAATTGCAATGCACCAGACCCAGCTGCAGCGCTGAGAAAGCGGGGTGAATCACTGAGCGCATATTCCTTTCGCCAAACCTATGAGACCGAAACACACTTAGGGTATAGGAAATCCCCTTTCTGACCCTAATCAACAAGTCACGAAGTGCCCAGGCCTCTTCCCTTTCTTCAGCAATTCTCTGCCCTTTGTTGGCTTTTTTCCATTGGGCTCCCTAGTTTATCAAATTTTCTCTGATTAGAGAAAAACAAAATGAAGAGGATCCCCAAAGTGTGACTTGGCTTTGACAGTTAATTCTCTAGACTGGAATTCCACAAGTCCAGGACCCACCACCCCAGCAGGCCCTGCACTTAAGTGTGTGTGTGTGTGTGTGTGTGTGTGTGTGTGTGTGTGTGTGTGTGTGGTGTGTGCATATATATAATTTTTGAGACAGCATCTCTGTAGCCTAGGTAGGCCTGCTATTCAGTATGTAGATCAGGTTGTCCTCAAACATCGAATGATCCTCCTGTCTTAGCCTCCAATGCTGGCTGAGATGATAAGCATGAGCCACCATGAGCAGCAAGCATTCCTTATAACTAAATGAGTGCAGATACATTCTTTAAAAAAATATTTCAATTGATTTTTTTTTTAATTTTTCGAAACAGTGTTTCTCTGTGTGTAGTTCTGGCTGTCCTGGAAATTGCTCTGTAGACCAGGCTGGCCTTGAACTCAGGCTGGGCTGCCTCTGCCTCCCAAGAGCAGGGATTGAAGGTGTGTGCCACCACCGCCTGGCTCAATTGAAATTTTCAAATGTATTTATTATTATTGTATGTGTATGTGCATGTATGTGGGCATGTGTGCCATGGTGCATGTTTTGAGTCAGAGGACAACTGGTGAAGTGAGTTCTCTCCTTCCACCTTTGTGGAGTTCTGAGGCTCAAACTTGGGTCTCCAGGTTTTATGGGGCAAGTACTTTTACTCATTGAGCATCTTACCAGCCTGAAAAACTATTTAATAGGAGAATTTTTGTGTCCATGCTTTGTAGCAACGTAGGAACCTAGATTCATGCCAAGCGTGGCTCACACCTATAATGCAAACACTTCCTAGGCTGGAGCAAGAGGATCACTACAAACCTGGGCTTCTATTTGGACTACAGTTTGAGACCTTCTCTCAAACAACAACAAAAGCAAAAAAACAAACAAAAAAAAGTAGAATTTCACTTTATTCTTTTCTTTTTTGGTTTTTCAAGACAGGGTTTCTCTGTGTACCTTTGCACCTTTCCTGGGTCTCGCTCTATAGACCAGGCTGGCCTCGAACTCACAAAGATCCACCTGCCTCTGCCTCCCGAGTGCTGGGATTACACCACCACTGCCCGGCTCACTTTATTCTTTTCAACTTCAGTGACTTAATTCAAATGAGCCAATGGCGGTGACTCATGCCTGAATCTTAACACAGAGGAATGCTTAGCAAGACTATTGACGAGTTCTGGACAGGCATGGTGCCACACGCCATTAATTCCACTTGGGAGGGAGAGGCAGGAGGATCTCTGTGAGTTCAAGGCTAGCCTGGTCTACAAAGCAAGTTCCAGGACAGACAGGACTCTGTTACACAGAGAAACCCTGTCTCAGAAAAAAAAAAAAAAAAGAATATTGACAAGTTTTTGAAGCTGACTTGGGCTATGTAGTGAGTTCAAGGCCAGCTTGACTACATAGAGAGCCTCTGTCTCAAAAACTCAAAAACAAGACATAAGACTACCGTAGCTCAGGAAAGCGTTTGCCTAGAATGGACTAGAATGGACAAAGCCCTGGTTTCAATTGTCCTGTATACACTGTGATGACGTGTACTTGTGCACCTACCATCCGAGTAGAGGCAAGAAGAACAGAAGTTGAAGATCGCCTTGGTTATATACCCAAGATGACCCTAGCCTGGGTTACAGGACACCCTGCTTCAAAAAAAAGTAGTAAATAAATAGTGAACTGTAGTGGGGATACATGCCTGTGACCCCAACATTCAAGACATGGAAGAAGGGGAATCAGAAGTACATGGGATCCTGTATCAAAAAGAAGGAAAAAAAAAACAAAAACAACAGGTAGATGTGGAAGTGTGTGCTATCAACCCAGTGCTTGGGAGATAATCAGAAGTTCAAGACCACCATGAGCCACATGAAACCTTGTTTCAAAACAACAAAATCAAAAGCAGCTGGGTGTGATGGTACATGCCTTTGATCTCTATACATGAGAGGCCAGGCAGGCAGATCTCTGTGAGTTCCAGGCCAGCCGAGGCTGCATATTGAGACCTCATCTCAAAAACAACAAAAAAATGTGATCATTGTATCCTTCGTAAATTATATTTCTCATGGTATTTCCCTGTGTGTTCATTAATGTCTCGGTTGCATTCCCTTTTATCTGGAATTCATGTAATGATATATTTTAGACACAACCCACAACCTGTACTTCTTCATAAAATAGTGAAGACACACAAGAACAACAAAAATTAAATCATTTAAACTTCTAAAACTTGGAAATTGCTGCTTCTTGTCAAAAATCACAATGGGTCCATAGAACAAAATGTACAGATATGGTAGTATGTGTAATTCTTTTATATTACTTCCCAATCGTGTATCATATTCCCTAGTCATTTGATAATTTCACACCCAGATTCAACTACAAGATTGCACAGATTACATAAGAGAGTGGCAGTTTTTAGATCAGCAGTGCATTCTTTAACCCCTCCTGGACCTGCTTAGGCACTTTTGTGAACTGTGTAGCTGGATCTACTGTAAATGAAAGAGGTTCAAATATCAACCACTGAAAAGAAATTAAATAAACTCATACAGAACAGAGGAATGTGTTGTCACAAGATCTACAGAATCATTGCCCTTGTAATGCAATTAAGGCTGTTAAAATGATTTTAGTCACACATATATTGTAAGGAACCTGCTAAACAAATGCAAAACCTGAAAGGAAATTTCCCAGAGCAGTTTAGGTAATA